GCTAGTTAAAGGGGAATTAATTGCCTGGACAACCGGCCTCCACAAGTACACACTTTCTCAGTCACGAACCGCGGGTTTTCAGGTCAGTAAATACGTGGGGGGGGGGGGGGGGGGCTCGTTTTAGGGGCTTCAATCTCAATATGGGGGGTTCGTTTTAGGGGCTACACTCTCAATGTGTGTGGTGGGGGGGGGTCGTTTTAGGGGCTACACTCTCAATGTGTGTGGTGGGGGGGGGGGGGGCTCGTTTTAGGGGCTACACTCTCAATGTGGGTGGTAGGGGGGGGGGGCTCGTTTTAGGGGCTTCACTCTCAATGTGGGTGCGTCTGTTGGGGTTGGCTCGCATAGATAAATGTTGTGTTTATCTCAGATAGTGTTGGCAGATACTGTGAGGGATGGCAGATATTGTTAGAGATACATAGATAACAACAATAAACCAATGGCATATATCAGCCTACCCCTCATAACCCAGCTGTGATATTTGTGTTATAAAATCGCCATTACTTTCCAAAATAGGGAATGAACTCAGCCAAAACTATGTATATTCATCAAGAGATAGTTCATCAATTACACCTGTATACCGTCAGTCAGCCAGTTGTATAAGTTGATGTGAAGTTTCTTTCTATAATATTCAACATCACATCGAAAATATTTGCTTAAAGCGATTTAAAAAATTCCCTTTTGATACTGTTGATGAGAGACAACATTAATGATTCTATATACTGAGCAGAATGGACAACAATGGCTGCCTTGGCTTATTATGGTTGTAATTATCCGCTTGTAGTTGGCTGCATTTAACCAAAATGGACACAACGACTAAATAAGACAAACGGGGATTCCCATTTGGCCTAAACTTGTAATATTGTTTGGCCGGAAAATCCGATTTGGCCAGAAAATTACTGGGACTAATTTAGCTCTTCTTGACTGCTTGCATTGTGGGAGACCACGTGACTCGCCTCGCGCGGAGCTAATTTTGGCCAGTGAGACCAAAGGTGGTTCAAATAGGCATTTGTACGATAATTGGCTCATCTATGAGAGCGGGCCATTTTTGTTTTATTTTCCCTAACGGAAAGATAAATTATAATCGGTTAATGTATAAGTGTTTTTATGCCATCACGCCAAATGCAATTGTCGGCATGAATTTGAGAATGATTCACTCGGGCACATCCGGGCAAGTGGCTCGACGGTTAGACCGGAGCATAGAGTAAATCATACAAGCACCTCGGCTGGGGCCTTTCAATGTGATCAAACGATGGCTCTCATCAGTAAGTAAACAAGGAGGGGGGGGGGGGATGACGTTACGTAGGTTAGGAAGAGGGGGTCGGGCTGTTTTTCTTTGGAATTTTAAAAATCCTGTGCATTATTGCTAGAATTACATTTATGGCTTTGTTGGAAAGAGGGGGGGGGGGGGGGGGGGAATCGTGCTTTTTATTACAACTGGTGGGGATGGTATATGGCGTGAGGTTATGCATGAACTAACACGAAGCATGAGGTTATGCATGAACTAACACGAAGCATGAGGTTATGCTTGAACTAACACGAAGCATGAGGTTATGCATGAACTAACACGAAGCATGAGGTTATGCATGAACTAACACGAAGCATGGGGTTATGCATGAACTAACACGAAGCATGGGGTTATGCATGAACTAACACGAAGCATGAGGTTATGCATGAACTAACACGAAGCATGGGGTTATGCATGAACTAACACGAAGCATGAGGTTATGCATGAACTAACGCGAAGCATGAGGTTATGCATGAACTAACACGAAGCATGAGGTTATGCATGAACTAACGCGAAGCATGAGGTTATGCATGAACTAACACGAAGCATGAGGTTATGCATGAACTAACACGAAGCATGGACCGTAGATATGGTGTAGGCCTTGGCACAATGAAATCTATCATTTAATATTCAAATATAAGCTTTTATATTTAGCCTATATAAATAGTCCATATATATATATATATATATATATATATATATATATATATATATATATATATATATATATATATATATATATATATATATATATATATATATATATATATATATATATATAGGGCCTATATTCACAGGATAATAGCCGTGAGCTTTCCAAACCTAGCAAAATCACGTGAACTACCATTTCTAATACTTAAGTAATTCAGTTGTTTTTTTGGTGGTTTTTTTTTAATATTTTACCATTTCTAAAAGGGGAGACGACTATCACCGCCATTGATCAGAAATATTTCAATGCATAGAGTTGGTACTCTGGAGAAATTCGGCCTAAAATAGCGAGCTTTAGCACCAACCAAGTCATCTCTCAGAGGGACCGATCACACGTCTTCATCGATACCGCTCCCGTCCTCGGGGATATTGATCCCGCAGTTCGAACACTAACGCCTTCCCTCTCCAGCCCCGTCCCCGGGGAGGCCGCGATGCCAGCACCGGTCTGGCCCGACACCACGGCCCGTGTCCAGGAAACTTCATAATAATTTGTCTGCGCGCTGTAACGGGTGCGGGAAAATCCCATGAGTTGCGATCTTCGGGAATTACCGAACAGGGCGCGTATGAACGTCACAGCACGCACGGTGGCCGCTTTTAATCTCACTGGCTCAGCAACAGGCCAATTGACGTCACGGGGCCAATAATTGGGCCATTAGAGCCTTAACTTGCGCAATTATTCCATCTCAAATTGTATCATTGCTACGTGCTAACGGAAGGAGGTAGAAACATTGAGAATTGTGGTGTGACTAAATATAGTGGTGTGTTGTGACAAAATATAGTGGTGTGTTTGACTAAATATAGCGGTGTGTTGTGACTAAATATAGTGGTGTGACTAAATATAGTGGTGTGACTAAATCTTGTGGTGTGTTGTGACTAAATATAGTGATGTGTTGTGACTAAATATAGTGGTGTGACTAAATATTGTGGTGTGTTGTGACTAAATATAGTGATGTGTTGTGACTAAATATAGTGGTGTGACTAAATATTGTTGTGTTGTGACTAAATATAATGATTTCTTGCGTCGTGACTAAATATAGTGATGTGTTGTGACTAAATATTGTTGTGTTTTGTGACTAAATATAGCGGTGTGTTGTGACTAAATATAATGATTTCTTGCGTCGTGACTAAATATAGTGGTGTGGTGTGACTAAATATAGTGGTGTGTTGTGACTAAATATAGTGATGTGTTGTGACTAAATATTGTTGTGTTTTGTGACTAAATATAGCGGTGTGTTGTGACTAAATATAATGATTTCTTGCGTCGTGACTAAATATAGTGGTGTGTTGTGACTAAATATAGTGATGTGTTGTGACTAAATATATGGTTTCTTGTGTCATGACTAAATATAGTGGTGTGTTGTGACTAAATATAGTGTTGTGACTAAATATAGCAGTGTGTTGTGACTAAATATAGTGGTGTGTTGTGACTAAATATAATGATTTCTTGCGTCGTGACTAAATATAGTGGTGTGTTGTGACTAAATATATGGTGTGCTGTGTTTAAATATAATGGTGTCTTGTGTCGTGACTAAATATAGTGGTGTCTTATGTCGTGACTAAATATAGTGGTGTCTTGTGGTTTTGATGCGTCGCTTTGTAACGCTTGTCTCACTGAAGTTTGGGTCTTAGTCTTATGGTTATGTCAGTATGTATTTTCAAGGGAAGTAATAGAATACAAATGTCTAAGTTACAGTTTAAATGTGTGATTACCTCCCTTACATAATTACGAAAGTCTATCTTCGCCTTAGATAAAGCTATCCTATTGACTTAATATCACTTGCTTAGGTCGAAAAAAAGTGTTGTAATATACACCATGACATTATACATTAGCTATAAACTAAAATTGATAACACCAGTGTTTTTTTTTTAATCAAATAGTTGCCGGTACTCAGTGATGGATTGCCTAACTTTAAACTACCAGTTGGCACCTCGATGCAAGATAAATCACAATTGCAAAGATACTAAATGTCTAAAACAATATTTATTTTATGAACCAACGTCAATTGTTTTATTATTACTTTATTAGTAGACCGTATATATTTGTTACGATTTGTAAAATTTAACTAACAACTTATTCTTGATTTACTTTAAAAAATTGTGTTATGTTCTCTTGTGTTTTATAGGCAAGAACCCTCTTAAAAATGAAAATAAAATTTAAATGTTGAATAAATTATTGAAGTTCTCATCTGACGTATAATCCCGCTGCATTCTTTGCTGTTGGTAGACGTGGTTGAGTGTCTGCGTTCTTTGCTGCTTGTATCTGTGGCTGAATGTCTGACTGAGCTACCATCAATCAACGTATCTTGTAGGGTCAAAACGTACAAATGGTGGTCCACTTGTAATAATTTTAACTTAAATTATCAATTTCTAACTACGCTTGTTTTAATTTCCTTAAGTCTTAAAATTTGAAATTTTAATGGCATTACGTCTTAAAACCAAGCATGACCAGAAATGGGTTAATAACCAGACGTATTATTACGAGTGTGTGCGGAAAGCAGTTTTGCATTTTATATTTTAGTTCTTATTGAACACAATTGAAAAAAAAATTTTAATATTAAATTTAAAACTAATAATATAATTAATTAATTAATAATAAGCGTTACAATACAAGAAAAGTAATTTTTTGCCCAACATTGTCAACACGCCTTACCAGTTCGTAACTTTAAAAAAAAAAAGCACTGGATAGTGTACTTGAAACAGGACATTTTACCAAGGTGATTAAAATTGAATTTATAATTGTGAAAAGAGAGTATTAATTTGACATTAACAAAAGAACTGGAAGCAAGGATAAAAAATTACTTAATAAATGGAATAGAGTACAGTAGGACTAATGAGCTGGTAAACTCCTGGTTTCAGGTTCAAGGTTAAATCACACCTGAATGTTCAACTTTGCTCCAGACTTTTGTCATGGTTCAGGTTTGTATGTCTAAACATTAAATCACAGTCTCACAGTTTTTAAAATTCCATCTTACATACATGTTCAAATGACCCAAACCAACTAAAAATGGAAGCAAAGATTAAAACATTTTATTAAAATGGAAACTTCCACAGACATCAATATAAAGCTGGATAACATACATACATTCAGCCCCTGCAAAGCTTCTGTTAGAAGACTGCTGGGTCAAAATATACAAATCTTGATACCAGAATAGCATCAACTGTTCCAACGTAGTAAAAATAACAGAAACAGAACCCTTTCAAAATGCATGAAAACAAGCATACCAATAAGATAACATGTGAATGACTAAAACTGGCGCCGGCCCCTCCCCATGGGTGGCATACCCCCAGGTCTAGGTGGGCATATGGCAATGTCCAGGTAATCCCCAATGGTGAACTTTTTCTGTGCTAGTGTGACTGTGTCGTCAGGTGACTTCCTGCCAGCACAGGTTGTACCAATCTCACGCATCCTGAAGGTGGGGGAGCGAGAGTCTGGGTAAACAATGGCAAAGTCAAAGAAGGTTCCCTTTCTTCTGGCGTCAGGGTTGACCTCCTTGACCAGACTCGTCAGCTCCTTCAGTGTGGCGTCCATCCTGGGTACAGCAAGAGAACAAGTCATGTAAACAAACATCAGCACGGTTGAGCTGATGACACTACAATTTGTGCGTCAGCTGACATTGTAATTAGTTTGACAGCTGCTGCCATTTTGATTTGCATGTCAGCTGTTGTCAGTAAAGTGTATCTGTCAGCTGTTAATATGGATTTCAATTCAAATGTTAACTGTATCTATCAATCAAAGTTCAAATTGTCTTTTTCTTTATTTTGTTGCTGTCATTCATTCAGTCAACATTTTTTTAACAAGTCAACACAAACAGCAGAGAGATAAAGAGAGAGCACCATTTAACCTTAGCCCATCCACCAGCCTATAATATAACCCCAGTTAGCCCACCTTTCAGCCTATAATAATATAACCCTAGATAAAAAAAATGTCCTACCATGTGTAGATCTGAACACCAGCCTATAACCCTAGATTAAAAAAATGTCCTACCATGTGTAGATCTGAACACCAGTTTATAATATAACCCTAGATGAAAAATGTCCTACCATGTGTAGATCTGAACACCAGCCTATAATATAACCCTAGATGAAAAATGTCCTACCATGTGTAGATCTGAACACCAGCCTATAACCCTAGATTAAAAAAAATGTCCTACCATGTGTAGATCTGAACACCAGCCTATAACCCTAGATGAAAAATGTCCTACCATGTGTAGATCTGAACACCAGCCTATAACCCTAGATTAAAAAAATGTCCTACCATGTGTAGATCTGAACACCAGCCTATAACCCTAGATTAAAAAAATGTCCTACCATGTGTAGATCTGAACACCAGCCTATAACCCTAGATTAAAAAAATGTCCTACCATGTGTAGATCTGAACACCAGCCTATAATATAACCCTAGATGAAAAATGTCCTGCCATGTGTAGATCTGAACACCAGCCTATAACCCTAGATGAAAAATGTCCTACCATGTGTAGATCTGAACACCAGCCTATAACCCTAGATTAAAAAAATGTCCTACCATGTGTAGATCTGAACAGCAGCCTATAACCCTAGATGAAAAATGTCCTACCATGTGTAGATCTGAACACCAGCCTATAACCCTAGATTAAAAAAATGTCCTACCATGTGTAGATCTGAACACCAGCCTATAACCCTAGATTAAAAAAATGTCCTACCATGTGTAGATCTGAACACCAGCCTATAACCCTAGATTAAAAAAATGTCCTACCATGTGTAGATCTGAACACCAGCCTATAACCCTAGATGAAAAATGTCCTACCATGTGTAGATCTGAACACCAGCCTATAACCCTAGATTAAAAAAATGTCCTACCATGTGTAGATCTGAACACCAGCCTATAACCCTAGATTAAAAAAATGTCCTACCATGTGTAGATCTGAACACCAGCCTATAACCCTAGATTTAAAAAAATGTCCTACCATGTGTAGATCTGAACACCAGCCTATAACCCTAGATGAAAAATGTCCTACCATGTGTAGATCTGAACACCAGCCTATAACCCTAGATTAAAAAAATGTCCTACCATGTGTAGATCTGAACACCAGCCTATAACCCTAGATTAAAAAAATGTCCTACCATGTGTAGATCTGAACACCAGCCTATAACCCTAGATTAAAAAAATGTCCTACCATGTGTAGATCTGAACACCAGTTTATAATATAACCCTAGATGAAAAATGTCCTACCATGTGTAGATCTGAACACCAGCCTATAACCCTAGATTTAAAAAATGTCCTACCATGTGTAGATCTGAACACCAGCCTATAACCCTAGATGAAAAATGTCCTACCATGTGTAGATCTGAACACCAGCCTATAACCCTAGATTAAAAAAATGTCCTACCATGTGTAGATCTGAACACCAGCCTATAACCCTAGATTAAAAAAATGTCCTACCATGTGTAGATCTGAACACCAGCCTATAACCCTAGATTAAAAAAATGTCCTACCATGTGTAGATCTGAACACCAGTTTATAATATAACCCTAGATGAAAAATGTCCTACCATGTGTAGATCTGAACACCAGCCTATAACCCTAGATTTAAAAAAATGTCCTACCATGTGTAGATCTGAACACCAGCCTATAACCCTAGATGAAAAATGTCCTACCATGTGTAGATCTGAACACCAGCCTATAACCCTAGATTAAAAAAATGTCCTACCATGTGTAGATCTGAACACCAGCCTATAATATAACCCTAGATTAAAAAAATGTCCTACCATGTGTAGATCTGAACACCAGCCTATAACCCTAGATTAAAAAAATGTCCTACCATGTGTAGATCTGAACACCAGCCTATAACCCTAGATGAAAAAAATGTCCTACCATGTGTAGATCTGAAGTTCATTTGTTGGTGTGCTGCCTCGAGAGAATTCCATCAACGCATGATGACGATCATTACTACAAAACACACGTAGAAGCAGAGGACATGTCTGGAAAAAATGGAGTTGGTAAATAACAACAACATCATGTCTGGAAAAAATAAAGTTGGTAAACAACAACAACATCATGTCTATAAGCTGGTCTTTACTACATAATCTTACCATCAGCTTTAACTACTGTTAACAGAGGTACATTTCATATCAACTTCCAACTGTATACTTTGCCTATATTGCAGTGTGATTGTAGATTAGTCTAAACCACATAGTACCAAATAGTTTTACTAAAAAAATTTAAAACAAATTATTTTTGGTAACTAAATAGTGGGGCTACATAGATAATATATATTTCACATTTTGATGAAAAAAGAAAATTGAGAATGACTTATTATTATTATTATAATTATTATGAATGTAAGACTATAATTATAATGAAATGGACTTTCTACCTCACACTATGCCAGAAATATTTTTCACTGCTTTAGTTTTTAATTGTTTGATGAAGAGCAGGCATTACTTTAAGCCAATGATTGACTGTAGAACAGTGACAATTTTCTCTGTTTTTAAACTTTTACATTTCTAATACCTATATTCTCAAACGCCAGTGTGTGTTAAGTTTGTTTTAACATAAATTTAATTTAGGCCTACAAAGTCAAGGGTAGACACACTTAAAAAATCAAAATAGAAAATTATTATTTGACAGTGTAGTAACAGACACTCTCTTAACTAACTGGTAATTAATCTTAACTCAAGTTGCCAATTATATTATTACTAGTTTAAATTGATCGAAAAAAAAAATAAGCACATGGATTAACATTAAATCTTATACTTGAGTTGAGACAATTTAATAATTTAATTTGATGCTATTGAATGTTAGATTTTTTTTAAGATTATAATACTTTACCTACAGATATATAGGCCTACTAGGCTATGTTTATAATATACAAGGCCTAATTAATAATAATTTTTTAGAATTTTTAGGCTCCTAATAGCTTTATTATAATTACTAATTTGCCTAATTATTTTGAGGAATGAAAAAAGCATTATCACAAAAAAATAAAGTGAACAAAACATACAGTAACGTATAAAATACAAGGCCTAGGCCTAAAGTTAAACTTAGATTCCAAATTTGAGTTCAGTGGTGGAGTCGGTAAAAGCTCATGAATGCTAAACCAAACAGTCTTGATTTCAAAGCCGATGTGGCTTGATTATATATTGATAGCTGGGGACAGCAACTCTTCAGAAGAGACAACTCTAAAATCAAACTGCTGCCTTATAGTTTGTTCTTGGTTGGGCAAAAGCACAAAGGCTATGGACGCAAATCCAGTTGGCACGATTACTTAATTGTGTTGTAGGGAATCCCTTTTAATGCTAAAATTAAGAATGAAGAAGAAGAAGAGTTCAGCACAGTCAAATTTGGAAAGGCAAATCCTGAAGAGGAAATGGGAACAACTGAAGAGTGGCAGGAGACTGGTGGATAGTGGAAAGGAAAGCTTAGACACAGACCCTATGTTCTGCAGGGAAATAAATGATGATTATAGGGTAATCTATCGTTTAAGTTGTGTAAAAATCGGTTAAGGCTAGTAATGTGAAAAAAGTTGCCTCATTGTTAAGGCTTTAATAGAAGTATATTGTGAAATATTTGTGCCAAACATTATAGATAACTGAATAATAAACCAAAACCAATTGCTAAATATATAATAAAAAAAAATAAAAACGATCATAAATGAAAAAAGCTGTAAAAAATCTATTTTTAGGCCTATTAATTATTCACATAGGCTGGTTTATTAATTAAGCAATATTTTAGAGTTATTTAATTTGAAAGACAAGAATACATAGAGCTACTTTCACTAAGGTGCCGCTTGCGAGACAAACAAAGAAATTAGGTCAAAAGTACATCTGACAATTCTTAAATAACAGACTTAATAATAATATAAATAGAATTAGTTTCATCCCTCTACTACATAGTGAAAGCAAAACTGGCCGCCATTTTAATAAGTGCATGAGCCGTGAGATGGCACGAAAATAACAAACCCGGAAGCTTTGAATCGAACGGCCTACTTCATACTGAGTGACTGACAATTGCTCTCTTAAACTTTAAACTACACACCTAGATTCTATGTCCTATATCTAGCTATTTCAATATTCACAAAATATTCCCTGCTTTAATAAATTAATAACAATAAGTTGACTAGGCTGTCTAGGACGAGTAAGACTCCAGTTGAGTGAGCTTTCTTCTTTTCACATCCTTTGCCTTCTTCATCGAAATTTGTGTCTTAGTTGTATGACTCTTAGTTAGTATGTAGCATTAGAACAAAGGGAGATAATTTTCATACAAAAACCTGCCCAGAGCTCTTGACTGATTTTTCAAATTTTGTTTTTACCACTGTCTCTTATTAATTTTAAATTAATATCATATTAATTTCCAATACACAAAGCAACTACATTTTCAAAATCTACTGAGGTTCAGCTATAGCCTAATGCAATTATTTTTCATTTTCTTTCATTTTTGCCTATAAAAAAAATGTTTTGAAAACAATATATGCTCTAAATCAACTTAATTTTAATACATAAACACTTGCCTGCACACAAAATTATGCAAAATCAGTTAAATAAACCACGTGTGGTTCTTATTTTATAAAGAAATTGTGATAGAATTTTACAAATACATATTTTATGAATTTTTAAAGATTTGGAACTTTATCAGCCATGTTGTTTTTTCCTATATAATTAGTCATAGTAAAAATGTAGGCTACATTTTTAAAAATAAAGCATAACATCAAACAGAAACAAGCCTGCACAATTATTAATGCAAATTTACATAAAGGAAACACCCCTGATTCATTATTTATTTAAATTTATCATTAGAATTCAAAAATTTTTTGCAAACATATTTTAGGCCCTAGGTCTATAAAATTTTCATTTTTGTTTCCCACTAGACCCATCGAATAAAGTTCCGCGTGTGGTCAAAACCACGGTGTAGTCACATTCATGTTTATGGCTTCGTATAATATTTGTTTGGATGTTTTATACGAAACTACTAATATCTGCTGTAAACATGTCCATTTCTAAATATATCCAGGTCAAATTCTTTTGTTTCCCTCCTTCTGAAAGACGAGTTTTTAAATTTTCAAGTTTCGAGGTATGACGTCGTAGACGATTCTAGTTCCCCCGTATGAAAAGCACTAGGTCCCGGATGAGATGAATAAAACCAACCAATCAAAGCTTTTTATAACTAGGTTAACTATAAATAGCTTTTATTTATGTGCGGGACACTGAAAATACTGTAGTTAAGGCTATTAAAAGAATCTTAGTGGTGAAATGGGGGTGATCACAGCTGGGGTAACGATTTTTGTGTTTTACCCTCGCTGTGGTCACCAATGACTTGAGCTAGACTAGCCTAGATCTAGATGCTCTATATTTCAAGCTAAGTCTAGAACCTATATAATTTCTATTTTTTTCTGTTGTTTTAAATTATTTTAATCATCTACATCTTCTAAATCTAGTTTGTGTCTCTACATACAATCCAATCAAAGCAAATGTTACGTTTTGTCTTGTTAGTGATTGTTACGTCCCTTTGTTATGATTATAATAGTTGCGTCCCTTGAGTCATCACTGGGTCATCCGTAATTTGTAGTTAATAAATTTAATTAACGTGTTATTATTTGGTTTTGCAAATCTATTAATTAATTATACAATCATCAACACGTTTAAATGAGTAAAATGTTTATTTCAATTATTAAAATTGGATCAAAACGTAAAAAATACGCTAGTGATCACAAGCAGGGACAGGTGACCACAGGCAAAAAAAAAGGGGGGAAAAGTTGATCACAAGGAGGTTCGTCACTAAAACATGAATATCTCAAATACTATGCGTATGAATACAAAATAACTCATGCATATTAGAGTAGAATGGCAGTGGAGTAATAAAGTACTTTCGGTTTGTTTCTGTGTGAAACGGTTACAAAATAGCGCCCGATGAAAATCGGGAGTTCGGAATTTTTCGCTATGTGTGTGACCACACGCGGAACTTTACTCTAGTTTCATTTTTTACAGAGATTATATACAGGGTTCGTACTGCTTTTTGAAAATGAAATTCCAGACTTTTTCCAGACATTTTCCAGACTTTTTTTTGAAAAATTCCAGACTTTAGACAGATAATGTGTTAGCGAATAATTTTTTTTTAAATGATGCACTATTTGTACTGTCATTATAATTACTTATACTAAATTGACATTTATTTTAGGCAATTGAGCTATATTCATAGTGAACTTTCTCTAGTCAAATTGACAAAAAAACATTTTTTCTAAGTTTGCCTACTCCACCCTACCTAAAATTTTAACAATTAAAATAATTGATTAAAATGATGCAACTATTTTGTTTCCAACATTAGACGTATATAATCTGTACATGATCTAATTGCCTATGTTTTCAATTAAACTATCATTAAAATGGTTTTGCATAATAGTGAGAGTTAATTACTTTAAAGAATAATAATGAAATGTATTAATTTAGGTCTGCTCTTGTTAAGTAGCCTAAATAAATATAGGCTATTTGTAAAAAAAAATGTGGAGCAAAAAAAAAAAAAAATAAATAAAAATCATTCACTGTTTGTGCTTATAGTAATAGCTGAGAAACGGGTCTGCAATAAAAAAAAATTGCCGGTATCCTTCTTCCCCCCTCCCTCCCCCCCCCCCCACAGACACGACACGGTGAAGGGGTCACTGTGAGGTCATAGTAGTCTAGACTTCAGTATGCCAGTTTAATACGTCATAACATGAACTGTGCTGTGACTTATACCCCCTCCCCCACCCTACTTACTAAGCGGTACCAACTACGCACTTGGTGTCACGGTGAGTTCACACAAGTGACCGATGTTACAAGGAGGGGCGGGTAGTTATCGTCAGCATTTGCAAAGATTTCATTAAAACAGTTTAATGGAAGGTGAATTAAAATTAAAAGGGTCATCTATTTATGACGTAAACATGGAGGGGGGAAGGGGTCGGAAGATTTTGTGATTACATTCTAAAACAAACATAAAACTTGTATCTTGCGTGTAGAAAGTAAAATTAAAACGACTTTGCTGGTGTTTTAAAAACCATCGCAGTGTGTAAATAAAACACGGTATTTATATCTGCCCTAACATTATTGCAAGAGCAGGTCGTCACACTTTATAAAACCCTCCTCCCGACTTTCCTGAGTGTGACGTCATTTATGGACGACTCCTAAATAAAAATAGTACCTCTTTGTTAAGCTGAAGCAAACAGAAATACAGGTATGAACCCAAGGAGGCCTTGCGACTTATTAATCTTATAAATGTTAATATTAATCCAAAGTAAGTGAACGCGTGTGGACAGAGGGCGGGGGGAGTGGAGAAGGGGGGGGGGGTCTAAAACCCGAAAAATTGTTGTTAGTCATAAATGGATGACGCCTTACAGACTGATAAATTATATCTAAACTACCACTCACACATCTCCCCCATAACTTTTTGTTATGACTGCCTGCATGCAAACTCAAACGATGAAAAAATAGCAGGTAAAATCGAGAGCCTAACAATCATGACGGCGATCATTCTTTTATAAAATGACAATTTTAAGTAGGCCTACTTGTAACACATTCACACGGTCAGTCGTGCCACAAAATATCTCTTCCCTCCCTTCTCCTCTTCTCCCAATGACGTAGTAACTAAGCATTTTTTCAGCGAACCAGCGAAAAAACGTCACAACAGTGTCAACCCGCGCGAAAGCGCGGGAAAAAAATTGGAGTAAATTTACTTAAAAATAGCAATTTTTTAAGTTGGAAAATATGGACTACGAAGTTTTGTTTCTAAAACTAGATTCCAGACTTTTTCCAGACTTTTAAAAAATCCTGCCCAAAAACTAGCGATTTTCCAGACTTTTTTAAGTCTTAAATTCACTTTTCGAAATTCAAGACTTTTTCCAGACTTTCCAGACTGCGTACGAACCCTGTATATATAGACTATAATATAGGCTAAGACTAGCTAGGCCAATGCAAAAATTTAATTTCAGTAAAACAATATAATAGTTACATATTTGGATAGGGGCTGTCAATCTGATTACAGATCAGTTTGAATTTTCAAAATCTGACCATAAACAAAAAAGTTATGAATTTTTTAGTCATTAAAAAACAGCAGTTTTTTCAGACAACCGGGGTAGACCCTGAAAGAGGAAAAATACTGGGAGGGTATGGACCAAATTTTTAAGCGTTTTTCACTAAAAGTGGTATAAAAGCCAGAATACTTTATCAATTGATGTAATTTTAAGACATTTTATAGATTTTTGTATGCTGAATCCAATTATGCTATTTTAAAAAGTGTCCTTCGATTACTCAACCTACTAATCTCATAGATTATGTAATACCCCCCTTTCAATTTTTTTTAAACATCTAATAATCAATGTGATAAGAAGTCATTCTTTAAATGTAATGCTGTTTTAATCTAAAATATGACATTTGTATATGCTTAAGCTAATAGTAGATTTAAAATGGTCCAACATTGTTACATAACTATCAAATGTTAAGGTTATGTAATCCCACCCTTTGCTCAAAATATACCATGAATTTGTTTTAAAATCACTTTTGCTCATTGTCAGTTAACTTCAAGTTAATAGCCTACTAGAAGAAAATATAACTAATCAAGTTTTTCAATACAAAGAGAAGAATGCTATAGTAAATTTGTGATTATATAACTTCTTAAAAGATGTTATGTAATCTATGTCCAATACTATAGGCCTACTCTATTCCAAAATGTAGGCCTATTTCATTATAATTATATTTCTTGTTATTTTAAATATCATACAACTTTTTGCTATAGAATTAGTCTAGTTACAAATGTGTCTGATCAGAATCAGAGTGTGCTTTATGATAATTATGTAATATTATTACCCATATTAAAGTTAATCATTTTTACAATGTCAATAAAATAAACATAAACTTTGGAGGAAAATATTCTTTTTTAAAAACTTGCACAAGGTATAGTTAAGTTATAGATATATAACATAAATTTATATTTATGCCCAATGTTTATGCTAGTAGTAAGTAGGTTTATGTATTTTGTAAGCCTACCAGTAGGCCTTTTACAATTAACAACTTTCTTAAGAAAAAAGCACGTGTTTGAGTGCTTGACTGTGTAGATCTAGTAGATTCTAGAAATTGTGTAAGATTACCGTGTTTGGCTATACACAGACACGTGTACCACCACCAGCTTTTGCCTAGATTAAGATTTAGTTCTATCAGACATGTGGGTAACCAGGTCTTCTGACCAACGAATTTTATTGCCCTATTACGTAAACACGACCGCTGGATAGGCTAGTCGGCCAACCCGATGAACGTGTCAGATGAATATTATGTAATCACAGAGACAAAAGTCTGGCAAGATTTCCTGATCTATGCCCGAGGGTTAGTAACATCAACTCCACAAAGTGAAGGGGGAGGGAGGTGGGGTATGAAACCACCGTGTACCGTACGGGTGTTATACAACATCAAAAGCGATGGTCGTCGGCTTGTCGCGTCACGGACTAGTGGGGGCGGGGTGAGGCTATGGGTGGTACATACGGTGTAGGATGGTCAGTGGCTACCCCCATCCACCCCACCCCATTTTGGTCGATTTGGCTAGTAACCCCCACGTTGTTAGTGGTATTAAAATTTGTAGAAAAGAGCCCCGGATATAATTTAATTTTTTTTTTAAAGCCATTTTTACGAAAATGTAATGTACACAATAATGAAACGTTACACGAATCACATCACAGCATTGTTTGATCGGGCAGAAGCTATTCGGATTAATTTCTAAAGAAGATTAGTTTTTACGATTGGTCCTCAGCCGTAAATACTAACAAAACTTTTGTTTGACGTTTCAATGGGTTAAGACAAAGTTATGCAACATGTCTGTGTGCTTATAAATATAAAGTAGCAATAGCCGTCGAGTCAAACACGGGAACACATGTATCTATCTTTAGACATTGTTTATAGTATCATCAAATCGGATCAAGCGCCTAGCGTCACGTGACCACACACTCGGCTGTGCCACACGATGTGTAGATCACCACAGCAGAGCGATTCAGTCGGACGGCGGCCGACGCGTTAATTTTTATTTTCGTTCGGTTTTAAAATGTATGGACGGCTTTATTACGAGGTGCTATAATACATGTCATACATTACAATAAACGGCGGGATTTCGTGAATACAGCTCAGGGTTCAAATGTAAAATATGTCCAATAATAGACCGGGAAACTTGGTTCAACTTTGCGGTCCGTTATCTCCTAAAGTATTTAACTTATTTTGACCACGAACCCTGAGCGTTATACGTCTACATTTAATGTATTCGTCTGCCAAATTTAACTGTTGTAGTACGTAAACTCGATACGTGTATACAAATTTTGTAACGCGTCATCAGGTTAAAGACGGCGATTCGAAGCACAGCAGGGCGGTTCAGTCAGACAGCGGTCGGCGCGTCGTGTTTATATTTTCGGTCCACTTCAAAGTCTATAGACGTCCTTATTATAGGGCCTTATAGGACATATCATACATATTAATAAACGTCGAGATTTCAGGAATACAGCTCAGGGTTCAAATAAAAAATCGGTCCATAAATAGCTCAAATAACTTAGTTTAACTTTGCGGTCTGATATCTCCGAAAGTATTTAACATATTTTAACCAAGAACCCTGAGCGTTATACGTGTACATTTAATCTATTCTTCTACCAAGTTTCACTGTTGTAATACGAAAACTCACAGAGTCTATAGACTCCAAGTAACACCCCCCTTTTAAAAAGGTGAAAAAGCCTCCCCCCTAATCGGCACGTCGCCGCGGAGGGTAAAAAATGCGATTTAATCGGCGATTTCTTCAACGTCTGAAATAATAGAGAAATCAAACTAATACAGTTAAAAAGGTTATTCAATTACGAACAGAAATATGTATAACATGTTAATATAAACGCAATAAAAGCATGCAAAAAACAGAGTTGAACATGCAAGGGGTAGGGAAAAGCCGATTTGTCCGATTTTCTCGGCAGCGGCATTGGCCTAGCTACTAAGACCATACATTTTAAACAGAAAAAAAAATATTTCTCCTCTCCTGTTGAAGCTAGAAATATAAATTTGGTACCAATGGAATTCTTAATCCTTCCTCTAACTAACTCATATGATTTTAAGATTTAATAGCCTACTCAAAAATTAATTTTGAATGCTACAACCTACTCTTAGGTCTTAGTCTTTTGGACTCGGAACATGATCAGAAACCGATAGTCTACACATTCTAGATTCTACTTACTTTTTCTCTGTCTATTGGCTTTTCTGGTTCTTTCGGTTCCTCGACAATCATAGATTCTAGAGTAGTCATGTTAGGTTAAGTTGTTTGATACCTTTTCCTATTGCTACTGTAAACAAGATGAATGAAAATCAAATGCTTTCAGAGTCGGTAAACCTAGTTACCGAAAGATAAAAATACATTATGTAGGCCTAACATTAAAAAATTTAACCAGAAAACACCGACACGCGAAGACAGACATCAAAAGTCAAGTGTAATTTAATGTTGACAAAAGAAATTTAGAATTTAGATCAGACTCTTTTTTTTAAAATTAGGAAACTATTAGGCCTAATTAAAAAGGTAGAAAAATAATAAGATCCAGGCCTATTAGACAAAACTTTTAATTTGATCTTTATTTAAAATCCGTTATGAATATTGTCGATAGTAAACGAGGCGTCACATATATTTCCGCCGATCTTTACCACCTCCCCCTTTCCACTATCACACATCATCATTAAATGTCAGACCCCCCCCCCCCCCCCCCCACTCCCTCCACATCCGTAAAATATCACAGTTTAGGCAACCCATTTTCCCCTCAATTTAATTTTCATTTTCGTAAGGGGATAAAACCAAGCAGGGATGATCTTGGCTAAAGTATAATTTGAGTTTTCTCCCTGTGCCAGGAACAACATTTTAACGAATGTAAATTAAATTTAATTCTTTGATCGAATGTATGATATTTTTAAAACATAATATTCAAAATAAAAAACAAAAATGTTTCAAATTTAGATCACAAATTTCTTTATAAAGCAACAGTGAGAAGTTACTCTTTCTTCATAACGCGCCCCCCACCCCCTGTTCCACAAGAATCCCCCCCCCCCCTTAAAGTGTGACATCGTGTATGATCCCAAAGCGCAATAATGTAGCGCTTTTATAGTTTTTTGTAATGATGTCCAACACTAAGTAGCCTTTATTGAATTATTATTTTATGTTACATTTAAGTGTAACCTTTGTTTGCGTAAGCTTTAAACTTAGATTTTCATGGGCAACAATTTGTTTGTAGCCTGCTCTAAAATTGTGTAAACATAGAATAGAATAATATTGTTGAAAGTATTAGGCTACCAGTTGACTTATTCTAATTTATTACTTTTAATTTTCAACAAACAAAAACAATAGGGGCTATAGGCTTGATTCCTTGGGGGGGGGGGGGGGGGGGGGGGTAGAAATTTCTTTACTTTCTAAAAAGTCACTGGTAACCTAAGCTAAAGATTCACGTTCATAAAATCACTTGTAATCTGAGCTAAAGAACCACGTTTACGAAGTACTTTTAAGCTGAGCTAAAGATTCACATTCATAAAGTGCATGTAAACTGAGCTAATGTTACATATTCATCAAGCACTAGCCCTTTGAGCTAATGAATCTTCAATGTCAGATGTGCCCGCCCCGCCTTTGTGTTTGTGTCTACCTTGCCGCCATGCTTGCATTAATTTGACATTTTTCAAGCAGGTAATTACAGCGTGAAGTGGTACCTGGGATTAGAGGGGGCGGGGGGTGTGAGGTGGGTAGGGGCTTTGTTGCTGTAGTATTTCAAAACTAATTTCGTCAAAATATTGTAAGTGAAAGTGTGCAATAGCCGACACAACTATAAACATGAAATAGTTCACGAGAAAAAGTACATTACACACGCACCTGCGACATATAATGTTTCCTATGAACATGTACATCATATCCTTCCTACTTGAACATGCACCTAATATTTCGTATGAAAATGTGCATTATACAATCACATATATACACAGTGGTTTTTTTTTCATATTTTTTTAAACCTACGGAGGGCCACATACAATTTTCGGTGAGAGGTAGAGACTGGTCAAAAGTTAATAGGTTTATGTTCCATATACACTAAACATATTACTTTTTTGTCCGTTGGGGCGGGGGTGGGGTAGCATACTTTTTTTTGTTTCATAATGAAATGGCTAACGGCTACAGAAACGACAGTCAGTTTTATTTTCATTTATTGATCTTTATTTTACCCGGTGTTCCATCTTACTACGCCATTGCTTGAAATTTCCAGGCAAACAAAAAGTAAAATGTAATGTTTGTTTTCTAATAATGAAACAAATTAATTGACCTAGAAAGTGGCGCTTAAACACAGTCCCGCCTTGATAAATGAGCAGGGCGCGTGAACCTACTTCACTCATTAGTTAGCAGCACTGATGACGTCATAGGACGCACTGATGACGTCATGTCCAGCACGCGACCACGTGACATCGTACTGCTACTACTACAGTCTCCCCATCTTAGCGTCAGCTGTTGTAGTACTCACGACTCAAAGGATGCTTGTCACATGACCAACTTGTTGGAGGAATTCTGACAATTTTTATCAGGGGTTCTGTGACTTGAGATTATGTAACTTGAGATTATGTGACTTGAGATTATGTGACTTGAGATTATGTGACTTGAGATTATGTGACTTGAGTGACGTGAGATTCTGTGAGTTGAGTGACTTGAGATTCTGGGACTTGAGTGACTTGATATTCTGGGACTTGAGTGACTTGAGATTCCACGACTTGAGATTCTGTGACTTGAGATTCTGTGACTTGAGTGACTTGAGATTCTGTGACTTGAGATTATGTGACTTGGGATTCGCTTCCTGTTGCCTGTGTGTGTTTGCTGATCGAATATCTGGTGCATCAAGATGGCGGACAGAGCTCTGTTGTGTTCTTTTATTTTTATCAGTTTCACTAACGCTCAACCGTGTGAGTTGATAATTATATTTTAATACCTTTAAAAAAATACATAGCTTTCTGACATTATTTTAATTATAATAGACATGAAAAGCTAGTTCCAAATGGTTCCAAATTTTTGTTGCCAGAAAGCAAATTCTTCAACCAAAATTGAATATTTATAACATTTGTGTAATAAGTACAAAATTACTTCCGGTTTCATTAAGGCTAGAAATAGTCAAAGAAATAATTACTAATAATATAATAGTAATTTAGCAAACACTTTTATTTTTCATTTGGATTGTAGAGCCAGTGTGTTGTGTTGATTGGGGATGTTATATTATTTAATATAAATACAATACTATGCTATACACCAGGGGTTCCCAACCCCGTGCCATGGCGCCCGCCGAACAATTCGTATGTGCCCGCCTCTCACTATTCGACAGAGACAGAATTTTTTTTCATTAACATTATTGAAAGGTTGAAGGGGATGGAAATCGAAAGTTTGAGGGAGGGGGTGCAAATCAAAAATTTGAGGGGGTGGGGTGCAAATCGAAAATTTGAGGGGGTGGGGTGCAAATCGAAAATTTGAGAGGGGGGGTGTAAATCGAAAATTTGGGAGGGGGAGGTGCAAATCGAAAGTTTGAGGGGGGGGGGGGGTGCAAATAGAAAGTTTTGTACCCGGGTGACGGGAAGGAGTCGCTACGCCTCTGAAAGGAGTTTGTCGATTGAAAATAGATGGTGCCCGCCACCCTACCGATATTTTAGAATGTGCTCTAGAGTAAAAAAAAGGTTGGGAACCCCTGCTATACACCATAGATCACTATTGTGTATTTTTATCATGGAAAACAAATGTTCTAACATTTATTGCTTTACTCTCCCTGGCCATTCCGGTTGACTTCAAAGAGAGTTTGAGGGCAGTTTTTGAAAAGATTTGAATCGATAAAATAATTCTAAACGGCTTTTCAACGGCTTATATTCGATACAAAAATATAAAAATGAGTTTAATCGATGGTTCCCAAACGGCTTTAATTTTTACAAATGAAACTATAATTTTATCGCAAGCCATATTTTTAAAAAACATTTTTTCAAAAAATTTAGTATGATTACATAGACTTTTCCTATCTAATAGATCGCTGGAGTTATGAAATACTTTTGTCATATGGGCAAGGACTCACATTTTTTCTTATAGTTTTCTTTTTCCACTATAATAGCCTAATGTTACACAATCTTAACCTACCTGTGCCTACCATCTTGGCCTACCATCCTCACCTATCTGCCTACCATCTTGACCTACCATCTTGGCCTACCATCCTCACCTGCTGTCCCCAGATCAGGATGTGATCCGCTGTGTGACCAAAGAATGCCCTCACCCTCCCATCAACTGTTTCTACATAGACGACACCAACGGCTGTCCCACCTGCCATGCTGTCTGTAGCCGGCCAGGCTGCCCAGAGCTCAACTGTACACAGCCGTGCTATAACGGCTACCACAAGGACATGCACGGCTGCAACACCTGCTTGTGCAAGTACGTCATTGGTCTTACACAAGTTTAATAGACACGTCCAAATGGTCTTACACAAGTCAGACGACATTTTAATAGACTCGTCCAAATGATCTTACACAAGTCAGAACAAATTTAAATAGACTCGTCCAAATGATCTTACACAAGTCAGAACAAATTTAAATGGACTCGTCCAGCGCAATCTAAACTACCTATTTAAGTTATTGATTCAGACAATATTGAAAGAGCTGTGTCTAGAGCAAATGACAAACAAGTTGTCGAGTCTATTGAAGTTGTTATTGAGAACTTTTAGGTAGTGTATGACAGCAATACCTGCAAACATGTCAAAGTTTCACAAACTGTCACACCTAACTTTCAAGAAACTAAACCATTTTGTAACTGAAGTTTTCCTCCATCCCATTTCAGGCCGGGTTGCCCTAAGAAGATCTGCCCACGTAGCAGAACATGCCTACACGGGTTGCTGCTGGACACAAGGGGTTGCCCAACGTGTCAGTGCCAACCCCCACCCCTCAAGTGCCACAAATCTCTGCAATGTCCAGCCGGGGTCTGCCCCACCACGTGCTCCTGTCGGCCATTTTGTGACGTCAGCACGATGGACAACTTGACGTAATAGCAGACCTATCATAATATACAGTATTTATATCTCATCTATGACTTGCATTGTGTTTAAATTCCTAAAAAAATATTTTCCATTATGTTTTAGAATGCTGACATGCGTAGAAAATACCAAAACACATTTGAAACATCAGCCGTACGCCTCATTCATGTTTCAGTTTATGTCGATACAAAATGTATGTCTAAACAAAAATTTTATCAAAGCTTTAAACAACTCGAGATGTCTATTGTCAACTAACTAACAGCATCATTTAAATAATGTTTAAAAAGACCGAAATTTATGTTTTATAAACTTGAAAGTTATTGAGACATGAAGATTGAACAACTTGAAACCAATCTCTGTGATACCCAAACTCACCGCAGACCCACTTTGCGTCCCGACCCATGTAATAATTTTAAAACCCTCGCTAGTGTCCCTAGGCCATCGCTACACTGACAGGCTAGCGAACTGGTTATGCAAATCATTCTCGTCAAAACACATTTTTAAAGAAATATTCACCGGGTCAAATTTAGATGCTGACATGACATAGGCACGGAGAAGTAAACACGGTCGCCATTTTGTGTCGGCTTTAGCAGACTCGTCGTGTATGCATTCTGGCTCGTCCTGTGTGAACATTGGCTCGTCCTGAACATTGGCTCGTCCTGTGTGAACATTGGCTCGTCCTGTGTGAACATTGGCTCGTCCTGTGTGAATATTGGCTCGTCCTGTGTGAATATTCGCTCGTCCTGTGTGAATATTGATTCGTCCTGTATCTATATTGGCTCGTCCTGTGTGAACATTGGCTCGTCCTGTGTGAACATTGGCTCGTCCTGTGTGAATATTGATTCGTCCTGTATCTACATTGGCTCGTCCTGTATCAACATCGGCTCGTCCTGTGTGAACATTGGCTCGTCCTGTATCAACATTGGCTCGTCCTGTATCAACATTGGCTCGTCCTGTGTGAACATTGGCTCGTCCTGTGTGAATATTGATTCGTCCTGTATCTACATTGGCTCGTCCTGTATCAACATTGGCTCGTCCTGTGTGAACATTGGCTCGTTCTGTATTAAAATTGTCTCATCCTGTATCAACATTGGCTCGTCCTATAACAACATTGTCTCGTCCTATATCAACATTGGCTCGTCCTATAACAACATTGGCTCGTCCTGTATCAACATTGGCTCGTCCTGTGTGAACATTGGCTCGTCCTGTATCGACATTGTCTCGTCCTGTATCAACATTGTCTCGTCCTATAACAACATTGGCTCGTCCTATATCAACATTGTCTCGTCCTGTATCAACATTGGCTCGTCCTATAACAACATTGGCTCGTCCTATATCAACATTGGCTCGTCCTATAACAACATTGGTTCGACCTTCCTGTTTCAACATAGACCCTGCCTGCCCAAGTTACTGACAAAAATGGGTGTCAAGTTTACCGGGATCGCTGTAATCTTGACGCTGTGGAATGTACACTTGGCTGAAGCTTCTTCCAGGATTCTCAGAGGTCAGTTGATTTCAGAAGTTTTTAAAAAATTCTTAAGAACTCATCCTAAAGTATAATCAAGGTGTAGTCTAATGACGCCCCCCCCCCTCTGTTTTCACTTTATGCTCGGAATATTTTTGTTTAAGACTTCCGATTTGGTATTCAATACAATTTACTTTGAATATTGTGAATCTCTGAAATGTTATCAGTGGCCTGAAACGTACGCATAATTTTACAAAAATGAAGCATACAAAATATCTGTCTTTGATTAGTTCCTTGTTAAAATTCTACCTAAGAGAGCCAACATCATGTAATCTTGTGTATTGTTTTAGATCACTTTTGCTTCCTGATGTTTTATCGTTTGATTTTGTTTCCAGCTCTGGCTTGTGAGTACCCCCGCTGCGCCCCACCCCCACGGAACTGCCGCCCCGAGTTTGTCATCGACCAGTACGGCTGTCACATCAAATGTGTTTACGCCTGCGGGGGGACTCCGTGCCCCCTCCTGCACTGCTCACCCGCCTGCGCCACAGGCTACTTGCGGGACAAAAACGGATGTGATACCTGCAACTGTCGCTGTCCTGAAGAAACCTGCAGAGACACCTGCCCTGCAGGTTACGTCATTGACGAGTATGGATGCCAGACGTGCACGTGTAAAACAGGCGCCGTGGAGGAAGTGACGTCAAGCATGTCCAACCAATGGCAGGACGTGATGACGTCAATCATGCCCAGTCAAACACAGAAGGTGGTAACAGAGGAGACGCCCACCACAGCGCCGCCATCACTGGCCCACTGCCCCGGATATAACATTCAGCAGTGAAGTTTGATCTGATCAACGATTGGTCACATAAACAACATTCGTCTTTTAAAATAAAATTCGTCTTTTAAAGTTTTGTTTTTCATTTCACCGCTGGACTTTGAGGAAATAGTTTAATATTCTCGACTCTCAAAGTTAGAATAACAAACTCGGACAATAGACGAGGCTTATATCTCCTTATCGTACGTGCTTTAAAAGCATAATATTATATATTTGAGCAGACTTTATCGGTGAGGGGTTTTGACACGAACAACAGTTCACTTAGCTTAATACAGGTTCTACACGGCCAAGAGGGGGGGGGGGGGGGCGGAGAATAGACCATTGTAAAACGGTGGAACAATAACTATAATAAGCATAGTTTTCTTTCGAACCTAACACTAACAGTCCGTGAACCAAGTGAAGTAGAGTTCACCTGTTTCTGTGACCTCGGCATATGAAGTGCTTGAGTGGTTATCTCAAATAACCTTGAACTGTTGGTAAATCCGGAACATAAAGCCACGAGCGTGTGTGTGTGTGTGTAGTGTGTGTATGTGTGTGTGTATGTGTGTTACACACCGACCTACTTGTGATAGAATGAACTTGTTATTAAACAACAGAAAGGTAAACAATTTTATACTTTTATATTTATTTTTATAATTATTTAATATGATAATTTATTTGACTCGTACCTAGATCTTCTAAAATATTTTTTTAACGTCAGTTATGCACACACCCGACAAAACGACACGACAACTTAAAACGACACCATTTTTTATGCCTTGCAAACTCTAGACTAGTTTCAATACTGGACAAGAAAAGTCGATCATTAAATCTGTCCGTAGCTATAGTACATTCACATCCTGGTTTGTTTCAAACTTTTGTAAGACAGCAATGAAAATAAAATCATTGCCTTTAATTTACAACTTCAAACTTTCATTCAAATTTCTCCACTCATTTTTCTATTCAATCATTTCTTCCCTAGAAAAAAAAGTCATCTTTTAATATTTCTTAAATATTCGATTGATTTTCTTCACTTTCCCATTCTAGAACTTTCGTTATGTGAACAATAAATAGCAAATAATCTATAAGATAATCTACACCAATTGTTCAAACAGGCAGGGGTGGGGAGGGTGTATTAGAAGGGTTATACCTCACACAAGAGATCCCCAAAAATGGTGTTTATGTCACGTTTTTTCTACAATTTCAAGATGTTCAAAGTCAAATTAATGGTTTTCTTCTTTATATATATATATATATATATATATATATATATATATATATATATATATATATATATATATATATATATATATATTTATATATATATATATATATATATATATATATATATATATATATATATATATATGTGTGTGTGTGTGTGTAGGAAGTGGTTTTTTTTTAAAACATGACCAATTTTTGCCTACACCACCGATCTGCACCACAATTGTACACAAAAATGAATTGAAGAACATTTCAAACAAGTTAATATCACATGTTATTCACGAAAATGTACAGCTGATTCAAACGCTTCTTGTACCTGTACACAAAATAATTAAATGCCAGTAATTAAAACTACGAAATTCAGCGCTAATCTATTTGAAACAAAACAACTGCGTACTACTAAACCTTGTTTCACTTTGCCCTCTACTGCAAATATAACTACAGAACCAAGTTCGATAACTCAGGAATTCTAAATTTTCTTAGTTTAATGCATTGTTTCCCTTGGTCCATTCAATGCCCTGGATAAATAATAACGCGGTCTCTAGAAGATTTTAATTTATAAAAAAAAAATGCCGTTTTTAGAATTAAAAATAAAAGTTAATTATTAATACTCAAAGAATTTACACTGATGTAATTAGAAATAATGGCTGATCCTTCTATTGAAAATATTTCGTCTCAACACCAAGTTTTTTGTACAATTCAACTATTTCTTTAAGGATAGGGAAATTATTTTTTTAAAAAAAGCACATTCATTTTTTGGTTGTGGAATATTGCACATTTGAAATTGTTTATAAATTAATACTTATAACTGGTTCAAAGTCAACACAATAGTGTCCACACAAATGCAAATGTTTATCATATTGTCATATACAAAGGAAAAATTGATTAGCTTATGTTATTGCAGCATCGAGCTCATACGTCTATGGTTACCACATGATTCCTAGGTCACTTTGTGGCGCCTTCTTGTAGCGACTACTTGGTTGTAACCCGCGCCCCCCTATGGCGGCTACTTGGTTCTAACCCGCGCCCCCTGTGGCGGCTACTTGGTTCTAACCCGCGCCCCCCTGTGGCGGCTACTTGGTTCTAACCCGCGCCCTGAGCCCCCTCCTTCTGGCGGCCTCCACCATGTCCCGGGGGACTGTCCTGATGTAGCGCCTCTCTGGCGACGGACTCCTGGACTTCTTGGGCACGCAGGGCGCGTCCAGGATCCGGCTCCGTCTGCTGGAGTAGCTTGACAGCTCCGGGGGCGGGGGGAGGCTGACGGGCGGCTGGCTGAGAGGGGGGTCGGCCGGGTCAGAGATGATGTGGATTCTGGGCACCTTCAGGTTCTGGGGGAGGGACGAGGTGTCGCCGTCACTCAAGGCCAGGTGTTTGCCCCGCGAGCTGCTGACCTTCTCCGTGCTGTCCACGGAGCACCGCGGGGACTCGGAGCGTGTGGACATCTTGCTCAGGTCAATGGCCTCGTCATCGTTGTTGGACGAGAGACTCTCGCGGCGAGATCTCTTGGACAAGTCCAGGGTGAAGGGGAGGTTGGGGGAGTATGTTAGCTTCAACCGGGAGGAGCAGGGGGAGGTGGAGGCAGCCTTGAGCTGAGACCTCCCGATCTCACGACGCAGAGTCATGATGGAGTCAGCTGAGTCACGCCCGTTGTGGAGGACCACCCCGGCCTCTGGGGAGTCGAGGAGGGCTGGGTGGGGCCCGACGGGTAGGCACCCGACGGACGGGCATTTGGAGGTCTGGCGGGGGGACACGACGGGGCTCATGGCCAGGCTTGCACTGGCTGTTCTATGGGGAACTTCTTGGGGGAGGCTGGGCTTCACGTCCATGCTGCTCTCGTCCAGGTTCAAGGTCGTCTGGTTCAAGGTCGTCTGGTTCAAGGTCGTCTGGTTCAAGGTCGTCTGGCTCAAGGTCGTCTGGTTCAAGGTCGTCTGGCTCAAGGTCGTCTGGTCCATGGTCGCCTGATGCGAGCTCCCCGCAACAGTGCTGGCTGTAGTGGCTTTAGCGGACTCTGATTTTTCTTTGAAGAACGCAAACAGTTTTTCTGGGCTTATAGGAAGTGGGATGGGAATAGGGATGGGGATGGGGACGGCTACAGGGTAGGGGACTAGAACTGTGACAGGGGGTGAGGTTTGAGGGAAGAGGGGGACTTGCTGGGAGGGCGCTGGTTGTCTGGGGGCTGGGTGGGCAGACGTGGATGGGAGGGGGGAGGGTGGACTGACTGGGAAAGCTGAGCGTAGCCCGTGCATGTGGTTGTAGGCCAGGGGCAGGTGAAACATGTTGGACAGGGCCGGGTCTGAGAAGTAGGGGTGCACGGGCAGCTGCTGGTGCACGTCCCCCAGCAGGAAGGTGGGGGGCAGGTGGCGCGGGAAGTCGTGAAGAATATTTGGATTCAGCCCGTGGTGGGGGAAGGTGTGGGCCGGCCCGGGGGTGTCGGCTGAAGAATGGGAGGTGGCTGGAGAGGGGGGGATGGCGCTTCTCTCCGTACTCTCCCGCTTTCTCTCCGTGTGGCCGTTCTCTCCGCTCCTGTCCCTGTCCCGCAACAGTTCCCGTCTCGACTCGTGTCTGGACTTGACTTGACTCGAGCTGGGGGTGTCTTTGCTGCCCTCACCCTGCCGGTTGGGGGAGAGGAAGCGGGGGTAGAGCAGGGGACTGGCACCGTACCTGAGAGGGTTACCGGATGCCAGACCAACGTGTGGCGGCATCATGGCTAGCAACTGTGACGTGGCCCAGTTGGGCAGCAGAGTCTGTGGCGCGGTGTTCTCGGTACCGTCTGTGGGGCTCAGAATTGTCGGGACGTTGCCAGCACGCTGGGGCGGGGGGTTGGCAGCCCGCTGGGGCGGGGGGTTGGCAGCCCGCTGTGGTGGGGCGTGCTTCACTTTCTCCTTCCTCCCCACCCCCGAGGTACCGGACTCCGCGGGTTTACCGTCTAAGAGAAGTTTTTTAATCCGGTCTCGTCGGTAGCGGTTATCACATGAGTTAAGCTTCTCAAGGGGCTTAGATGTTACCCTACTCATGACGTCATGTCTCTGAGACAGCACCGGAAGTGTCTTTAAGCCCATCCTGTCTTCAACAGAACAGCTGCTGTCGTCGCTGTGTGCTGTTCTCATGTTGGTCTCAGTCAGGGACGACCTTTTATCCCTCAGCTCTCCTGGCTCCTCCTCCTCTCCCCTCCCCTGTCTACCCCCTCCCTCGCTCCTCTCCTCCACTTCCTCCTTGACCCTGACCCCGGGGTTGGCGTTGTTAGAGAGCCAGAGGTCGGGGGTGATCAGGATCTCGCCCTGGCTGGGCTGGACTCTGGGGTCCCCCGAGCTTTTGTCCTCGTCCCCAGCCACGATCTGCTGGAGGTGCTGCCTGGCCTCCGTGCAGAAGACGTTCATCTTGTACTGGTTCAGGCACTTCTCGCTGCAGAACTGGAGCTGTACGTCCCCGTCATGGAAGTCCACGAAGTTGACCGTCTGCTTCAGGCTCTTGCACCAGTCGCAGATTTGCGTCATAGGGAGTTCTAGCTGCTGATTGGATGAGAGGAACACGTGGTTAGACATGTCTACTAATCGTGATGTCATAATTCAAATACTTATAATATAAATAAAGGTACATTTTACATAGATTACAACATGTGTGCCAGAAGTTTGATGGTCTACAGATTACTACAGCCTGCAGGTATCTGATCATCCATGCATACATTATTGAAAGCACTCAACATAAGTGGCCGTTTGATGTGCATACAGTGAACCCATATGTCTAAGTCACATATTCCCCACACGTCGGCACATATTAACCACAGTATGTGGCCACATATAATTAAGTCACATATTGCCACATGTCTCTACATATCGACCCCCCCCCCCCCAACAACACCACACAGTTCACGTTTTAACTGCAATTTATAAATATCTTTAAATACTGACGTGAAAGACAATTACTAGGCATACAGTGAGTACATGGGATGGTATATTTCTCAATCAAGTCTTCCATAAATGTGGATGAACATATCAGCAAACATGCATTTCTTAACCAAGCCTGAACAAATTGTTGATGTCCCTTAACATTTAAAGATAACTGTACACCGTACTATATCAATCTGAAGCGTACAACTGATAATACTGAGTGCAACCATACCATTCAACCAGCTAATCAACCAGTCTCCCGTACATACAGACACACGAGAGTTCAAGTAGGTCACCTTGTTCTTCTTGAAGAGCGCCCTCCGGCACTGGGTGAAGCAGAGTTCGCTGCAGAAGGATTTGATCCCCGACTGGGTGCCCAGCGTGCAGAGTTTGGTCCCCTTCTTGTGGCACCAGGAGCAGACGATCACGGCCCCTCGCTCTTTGCCTGGCTCGTCTGCTGAATCAACACAAAGGTAGGAGAAGGATTAGGTCATCACGTGACTGGTGGCTTGAGTCATGTGACTTATGTCGTTGGAACAGTTAGCACATATATAGTAATATTATATATTTTGTTATATATATATATATATATATATATATATATATATATATATATATATATATATATATATATATATATATATATATATATATATATATATAACATATATATACAGCGAGCATGTCGAGTGTTGCAGACATAACCAGTTGTAGACTAGACACCTACAAAAATAAAGTTGTTAAGAAACACCCCCCCCCTACCCTCGCCTACACCTTCCTCTCCCTTCCACACATGAAAGAAGCTTTCATTATAAAATCAAAAGTTTTGTGTTTTCGTGCCGAGGCCTACCTTATGGGAAGAAACCTGATCCCTTCCCTTCCTCCAATCCCACTTTTGCCACCCATTTTTTTCTGCAAGACGGGCTCGGGTTTCGCCTCTGAACAAACAGTTCACTTATTGACGTGGGTGTCGCCTTACTCCCCACCGGGGTCGGGTTGCCCCCACACCTTCAGCCTTTCCCCCAGCCTGGAGAGCTTTCACTTAAGTCATAAAAACCCCAGCTGTCTACAAATGTAGACCCCGATAGTTGAGACCCCGACCCCTGGACCTAGCGGGATCTAGGTTGCATCTATCTCTAAAGATCACGACCTACTGTCGTATTGGCGAAGAGATCTGATTTCACAAGGCACTTGCCGTGTAAGCTTTCATCATTTAACAGCTAAAATATCAAGGGAGAGATAGGTTGTAGTGACGGCTCTCGGTACGTCTAGCTACTGACACTTGATACCGAGACTTGTAGGCTGACTGATTACTTGGATTAATTGTTACTGCTATTAAACATCAACACTAGGTATGGGGGAATGAATCGAGATATCGTCGTGTGTTTGCGTGTGTGTGAGTGTGCGAGCAAGATCGTGTGTATGACTGTGTATTCGCGTGGATGTGTGTGTATGTATATGTGCCTTTGTTTGGTCTAGTTTTATAGTTCTAAATATGTGTAATTTGTGTTCCGTAAGAAAAGTAATATTTCTGTTACGTAACAATCATTCCGTGCAAAATGTATCTTAAATTTTGGACAAAATAAGTATGATCTAAATAAAATATTTGAAACGTATATTTTAAATCAAGCCCAGACACTCACATACGTTGGTGGTATCCTAGTATTCTGAAAGCAGCGGTATTATATTCTGATGGTATCAATGTTCTTGTTGGCCAGATATTTTTAGAGATGTTGGCACAATATGTGGTTTATAAATGTTGTGTGATTTTTTTTCTTTATTTGGAGATTAGAAGATGTATTTTTAGTGAGTCTTTCCAGGAAACTTTCAGGGAAGTTCGTTACCTGTTGGTGTCGTTACTTTAATCTTTGAGGGGCATTAGCCTGTGACAGGTAGAGGGGCATTTGCCTGTGACAGGCAGAGGGAGAGTTGCCTGTGACAGGTAGAGGGGCATTTGCCTGTGACAGGTAGAGGGGCATTTGCCTGTGACAGGTAGAGGGAGAGTTGCCTGTGACAGGGAGAGGGGCATTAGCCCGTGACAGGCAGAGGGGCATTTGCCTGTGACAGGTAGAGGGAGAGTTGCCTGTGACAGGTAGAGGGGCATTTGCCTGTGACAGGCAGAGGGGCATTTGCCTGTGACAGGTAGAGGGAGAGTTGCCTGTGACAGGTAGAGGGAGAGTTTCCTGTGACAGGCAGAGGGGCATTTGCCTGTGACAGGTAGAGGGAGAGTTGCCTGTGACAGGGAGAGGGGCATTAGCCCGTGACAGGCAGAGGGGCATTTGCCTGTGACAGGTAGAGGGAGAGTTGCCTGTGACAGGTAGAGGGGCATTTGCCTGTGACAGGTAGAGGGAGAGTTGCCTGTGACAGGTAGAGGGGCATTTGCCTGTGACAGGTAGAGGGAGAGTTGCCTGTGACAGGGAGAGGGGCATTTGCCTGTGACAGGTAGAGGGAGAGTTGCCTGTGACAGGGAGAGGGGCATTAGCCCGTGACAGGCAGAGGGGCATTTGCCTGTGACAGGTAGAGGGAGAGTTGCCTGTGACAGGTAGAGGGGCATTTGCCTGTGACAGGTAGAGGGAGAGTTGCCTGTGACAGGTAGAGGGGCATTTGCCTGTGACAGGCAGAGGGGCATTTGCCTGTGACAGGTAGAGGGAGAGTTGCCTGTGACAGGTAGAGGGGCATTTGCCTGTGACAGGCAGAGGGGCATTTGCCTGTGACAGGTAGAGGGAGAGTTGCCTGTGACAGGTAGAGGGGCATTTGCCTGTGACAGGTAGAGGGAGAGTTGCCTGTGACAGGTAGAGGGAGAGTTGCCTGTGACAGGTAGAGGGGCATTTGCCTGTGACAGGTAGAGGGAGAGTTGCCTGTGACAGGTAGAGGGGCATTTGCCTGTGACAGGCAGAGGGGCATTTGCCTGTGACAGGTAGAGGGAGAGTTGCCTGTGACAGGTAGAGGGGCATTTGCCTGTGACAGGTAGAGGGGCATTTGCCTGTGACAGGTAGAGGGGCATTTGCCTGTGACAGGTAGAGGGAGAGTTGCCTGTGACAGGTAGAGGGGCATTTGCCTGTGACAGGCAGAGGGGCATTTGCCTGTGACAGGTAGAGGGAGAGTTGCCTGTGACAGGTAGAGGGGCATTTGCCTGTGACAGGCAGAGGGGCATTTGCCTGTGACAGGTAGAGGGAGAGTTGCCTGTGACAGGTAGAGCGACAGTTAAATGTGGCAGATACACAGGCAGGTGAGAACTAATCTTGTCCTCCGATAAATACCACCATAATCAGCGAACATTAATTGCCTACTCCCCAAAACAATGGACACCAAAGAATGAACTGTACTCACTACTCCCCAAAACAATGGACACCAAAGAATGAACTGTACTCACTACTCCCCAAAATAATGGGCACCAAAGAATGAACTGTATTGCCTACTCCCCCCAAAAAATGGGCACCAAAGAATGAACTGTACTCCCTACTCCCCAAAACAATGGGCACCAAAGAATGAACTGTACTCCCTACTCCCCAAAATAATGGGCACCAAAGAATGAACTGTATTGCCTACTCCCCCAAAAAAATGGGCACCAAAGAATGAACTGTACTCCCTACTCCCCAAAATAATGGGCACCAAAGAATGAACTGTATACATAAGCTAGAAAGCGTTGGAGGAAAATTCCCATTGACTAAAAATATTGTCACGACGCAAGTTGAAGGTATCTCCTATCGGTTTTATATTTCAGGAAAACTGTTCATTTGATCTGGTCTATCACGTTATTTTTAATTCTCGAGTATTTGTTTACGGGAAAACCCAAAATTGAATGTTAAGATCTTTCTATGGAGAGACGATAAGTGCTTAAGTGAAAGGTCAAGTCGTGATTGTCCAACAGAATCTTTGGTGTCTTAGACAGACTTTTTGTAACCTTAGACAGACTTTTTGAAATCTTAGACAGACTTTTTGTAACCTGAGTCACCAACTAACGCCTACTACCACGTGTACATTGGTATAGTAACAGCTTATGTGATTGCACAATGTTGCTTGAACAGTTCGACAGCCGACATTTAAACTCTGAAACCCCCAAACGTCAAACTAATATTTTTCACAACATATCTACTACAACGACAAAGCTCCAACCCCACTAATACCATCTAAAAAGAGCTTTTTCGACTATGACCCTGACACCCCCAGCATGTAAAATAGGCGTGTCCAACTATAACCCTGATACCCCCATCATGTAAAATGAGCTTGTCCGACTATACACTAACACACCCAACATGCAAAATGAACTTGTCCAACTACAATCTTGATACCCCCAGCATGTAAAATAGGCGTGTCCAACTATAACCCTGACACCCCCAGTATGTAAAATGGGCGTGTCCGACTATAACCCTGACACCCCCAGCATGTAAAATGGGCGTGTCCGACTATAACCCTGACACCCCAGCATGTAAAATGGGCGTGTCCAACTATAACCCTGACACCCCCATCTTGTAAAATGGGCGTGTCCAACTATAACCCTGACACCCCCAGCATGTAAAATGGGCGTGTCCGACTATAACCCTGACACCCCCAGCATGTAAAATGGGCGTGTCCGACTACAAGATTCCTGGTTAAACCTTGCCAAGATACCAGTGAAATTTGAGAGAAATCGATTCCGCTAAGCGAGCTGTAAACTTGCCGGCTTCTGGCCACGGATCGGTAACTTTTACCGGCTTCGGGACACCGGATGCTTGTAATGTGATATTAACAGCTTCCGGCTATTGAACCGGTTAGCCTTGACCTAACCGGCATTCATGTCCACATGAAACAAGTAGCCAGTGGACACACCTAACTGGACACAAGTAGCCAGTGAACAGACACACCTAGCTGGACACACCTAGCTGGACACAAGTAGCCAGTGAACAGATACATTTAGCTGGACACCCCTAGCTGGACACCCCTAGCTGGACACCCCTAGCTGGACACACCTACGTGGACACACCTAGGTGGACATGGTAAATCTGCATTGGTACCATGTAACATTTATCAGTATCGTGCGAGCAGATATCGTTCATGGTATCGGGTTCATCACATCGATCCTGCCCTAGGACCATTATAAATAGATAGTAATGCATAAAAACCTGGGAGGGATTGAGGATGGGGGGGGGGGGGGGGTGGGGGTGGCGTATCTCCTCATCTCCGAGACCTGAGGTTGGTTTCAACATTGAATTAATTACTCGTCACCGGATCCGGTTTTCCGTTAAACACGGCAGAGTTTACGGCCGTCGGAATGGCATCGTAATCAACCGGATTAGCAGAGTGAAAGCGGAACGACCTTCGCCTTCAAACAGGCCGGCATCCAGTGATACTGGATATTGCGTCACGACGCAAACATAAATTAAGTGGAACTAAATATCAGGGTAATTAGCCATCACGACCATTTTTTAAAAAATAGTCATGTCCACGCCCCATATTAATCAGATTGTATGTTATTAA